TTCCTGAACTCGAGAAGTCGTGAAATCCTTGATTGGCTCGTCGAGTTCCCTTTTTAACTCGTCGAGTTCATACGTGGCCAAGATTTGGAAGAAACCCTAGCCAACTCGCCGAGTCTTCTAACAACTCGTCGAGTTCAATGCAATCTTCAACGAACTCGCCGAGTTGTTCATCCAACTCGTCGTGTTCATGGCCATCTTCAACGGACTCGGCGAGTTTCTCATTCAACTCGTCGAGTCCTTGCAGTTCTTAATCCATGCAGATGTTTTTTAAGCCATGGCAAGGTCCCATATTACAGATCCAAGCTCCGAAGGCATGTTTATCACGTAAAGTTGCAAACTTTACGCACATGCAAGGCTCTAAAGGCCCTAAATGGCCAATCTAAGCTCTTAATGGAGTTTTACACCTTGGGAGAGTCTCATCCTTGTACAAGCTGGGAACTTTATGGATCTAGAGGTTAAGGGAAGTCCAGATCTGAAGTTACAACTTCATATCTTAGCTTAAACATGGAGAGCCCTTCATAACACCCATCCAAGAGAGGTTAAAAGAGAAATGAGCTTAAGGAACAGCCTAATACCTTCCAGAGAGTGATAACTGAGGAAATCCCTTAGCTTCCCACGAGTTCTTGGCCTTGCTTTTCCTTGCTACCTCAAGTGCTTCCTTCTCCAAGGTTACTCCTCCAAGCTTGAACACACCAAAGAACACACACACACAATTAAGGGTTTGAGAGGGACAAGAAGCAGTAAGGGGAGGCTGGTGGAGGCCAATGATCCTTTAAATAGGGTGCAAAACCCCAGAATTTAGGGTTTCATCTGCCAGCTCCTACTCGCCGAGTCCCTTAGTGGACTCGCCGAGTAGGTCACTAAACACGCGTTCTATTCTCGCTGCTACTCGACGAGTAGGGCAACCAACTCGTCGAGTATGACATAAGGCCAATTATTCTTTATTTAAATCCATACCTGGAATCGGGGCGCTACACATAAAGCAACGAAAAAAAATTAAGGGGTTGATTCAACAAATTAAAAATATGTTGTTGGAGTAATATGTCATTTTCTTTTTATATTTCTATAGTATTAAGTTCTTTTTATATGCACATAGTATTATTTGATATTTGATATTTAGTTTTGATTATTATATTTTTAATGATCGAAAATTTCTATATAACATATTCATTTTTATTTTTTATATGTAATTCATTATAAAGTAATAAATAATTAATATCTAAATAATAATTAGCTTTTAAATATATGAGCCAAAATACATGTTCTAATAAATAAAAATATTTTTTGGCACCTGTTACGCTCTCATTGATTTAGCCACATGTTATTTGTGATTATTTTCAATTAATTTTTTTTCATATGATATTTTGTGTTTTTCTAGTTTATTAATTCCGCATAGTATTTATAGGTCAAATGAACTTTCTTTTCTTGATGTAATAAATAGATTTCAATTTTAGAAATGTAATAATTGACTCACTTTCATTCAAAATTCAAAATTTTCATATTCAATTTCCAACTTAATATAATTAATCTATTAATTTAAAATATATTATTACATTTAAAACGTTATCTTATTATTGGTAGATTTTTAAAATGATTATTAAAATACACTTATTTGCTATTTTAAATATTATGTTAAATCCAAAACATAAATCATATTATTAAATTAATTATAAAAAATATATTCGGATACTATTTTTCAAAATAGTTAAAAATGTTTAAATATTGTAAATGTAGAACGACAAGTCAAATTAAATTGAATTTATCAAAAAACTATTATTATTATAATTTAATTTTTCCAAAGAAGTGGCTTTTATTTAATCAACACAAAAAAATTACATTGCGTTAATTTACAAACAATGATTTATATCAATTAACCATCATGATCGAAAATAAAAAGAAAACCAATAGATAACCAATTTATAAACAAATGGTTACAACATTAAATTGTAATACTAAATTGTAAACTATGTTTAGTTATATTTAAACGCAAATCACGAGTAGAGGCTATTGAATTATACGAGTATATTATCTACATACAATTGTATGTTATATGACAATATTTTTTTCTTATTATTTAATTGAAGTACTTACTTATTTATCATTACGGTTGTATTTATTTTAAATTTTTATTTTAAAAATGTTTAATGTTTACACATTCATATATAACTTTTTGTTTTAATTAATGTATATAGTACACGAGTCTCACAATTAGTATAAAATATATAAAATGGATAAATAGTTAAAGGTTAGTAACCTAACTTCCAATGGTTAAAAGCTATATAATGATTTATTTTCAGATAGTAAAATGATATTTTAGAGGCCGAATTGAACTAGTAAAATTCTACCGTTAAACAGAAAAAATAACAATAACTATATTGTGAAGTCAACCAACTTAAATAATTTTCAGTGTATCTAGCCCAACCGCATCCGACGTTGTCATCCCTCTTTGAGGTCGATGGTTCAAGTTCCGTTAGGGACATAGGTGAATTTACGAATAATTTAATAATAGAATAAATTTGCCGTTCCAAAAAGAAAAATCTAAGAATAAAAAAAAGACTAAAAAACTATGTAATCAAACAAATCACTTTCTTTGGTTTACCGTTACAAAAAATTGATTTGTTTCGAAACTCCTGTATAAATCCCAAAAAGTGAGAAACATTTCATCAAGACACTTCTTTTGGATTCTAGTAAACTTGAGTGAGTCTCGTCGAAACTACGATAAATTAGAGATATAAGCCGTACCAATGTTCCACTAATTGATATTTTGGAACCAAATAGAAACGTAAAAGGACGAAAAATAGAATGTGATTCAAGCTCTCAATTTTAGAGTCGCACATCACACACATAAGAGTATCCATCAATCTCACATGTGTTCATATTGACTTTGGTGGGCAGTTTGTTCAAATTTATTCTCCAAACAAGAATATTCACTTTAATAGGAACCTAATTGCTCCAACGAATCAACGAATTTTCCACCATTAAAGTCGAGTAGTCGTTCAAACGCATTGATGAAGAAACGAGTAATTTCTCATACCATCTAAATCTAACGCTCACCTATCACATTGATTAGACAAAATCATCTCACTCCAGTTATCCCACCCCTCCCCCTATACAGGCAACTTAGTCGCACGAAGATTAGAAAATGGTCGAGCTTATCCGGATTAAGTAGCTAGGTACACTGTGGGAAAAAGAATTTTGAGATAAGTGTCGCCCACACACATCACATCAAATTGTAAAAAGTTACAAATAAAGAAACTTTTAGAAGGCAAAATACTTAAAAACAAACCAATGATATTGATGCAACAAGGAACGGCTTGTTGGATAACAACCGAAAACTATATATGGTTTGCACTAACATTTTTTTTTTTTTTTAATTTCTATTCATATATCTATATATCGTGATGTCTATTACTTGTTTTGTCTTTGACACTAATAGATAACAATATGAATGTTATTAAAGGTGTTTTTGTCGAACCATATTATCCTTTTATCACGTTCTATAAGACCCTCAAAAACAATCCATTTCGAACAATGGGTCCCAAATGTTCTTCCACAAGAAACTCTTAAAACGAAGGGTGTTTGAGTTGTCCCTTTCTTTTAGGGTTTTGGCACTTGTCCATCAAACCCAAACGCTTTAGGTTAACATTAGATATATTTACCTCGTTGATCTTAATCATTGATTCAAAAGCAAGCTTTGCATGTGATCGATTTTTTTAATAAAATTTTCTATTTTTTTTTATAAAGTTTACCATCTGATGATCGATCATTTCTAAAAGCTATGGTATATGAAAAGGAAAAAGGATGGAATCAATGCATCAAAGCTGAGGGATATATATATATATATATATATATATATATATTATATATATATATATATATATATATATATATATATATATATTTTGTTATTTTACTTGTATTTTCCTAATGAAAGATTTTGATACTGTGTTTGATTAAATAAATCAAAAGAAAACTTTAAACAACATGACGTCGATATCTGTCGATATCTTTGATAAGTTATAACTTTTATATATAGTCCTAATGAAAGATTTTGATACTGTTTGAGTAAATAAATCAAAAGAAAACTTTAAACAACATGACATCGATATCTTTGATATGTTATATATAGTCGGTAAGAATGTTATGGAATTATGGCTTTTTCTTGGTGACAACTTGGAAAAGTTAAGTTGCACTCATCATTACTTGGTCTTGTGGGAGCCCAACAGAGGCCATTAAAATGTGGTCATCCATCCAACTTGCATTATCCTTTTGAACTATGCTTTTGTCCTTTTTTTTTTCTTTATGTAATTATGTGGAATTTGATATAAACGTATTTTAAAACTATTTATACAAAAAACAATGGTTCTTTTTCTTTTTCATTTACTCTCATATGGACTTTGTGGCATTGATCATTTGCTTGACATTTCATAATTATTCAACTAATAATCCCAAATCCAACTAGTTTTTCAAAATTTTCTTTCTCCAATTTTCTTAATGGAAATACGTTGTTCAAGGTTTTAACTGTGTTCGCATGGATAACTACAACTTGTTTAAGAACATGGATATTGTTTTGACATGCATAACTAGAAACTTCATAACGATATTCAGGATGAGATCCCATCCTAGGTTTGAAGTTAGGTGTTTGTCAATTATCATAACCTTTTCTTATAATAATGCTGTACGTAATAAAGTTTCAAGATCTGAATCCATCATTATTAATTATAACTATCAATTCATCGATGAAGAAAGGGTAAAAAAATATTAATTCCCAATTATGATCTTTTGTATCTTTTAGAAAGAAGTCACATTTTGATCACAAAATCTAAGGAGTTGGCCACGTTGAAGCTTTATGAATGTGGCAAAACATACGACCCCAGATGACCTTCCCTTTAGGGGAAAACAACAGACCTAATTGGTCCCATTCCCTCAATTCAAGAACTTTCCGATCATATATATGTTTTGTGAATCTGCTCATCCCAATGCATAAACATTAAACCACCATGGAGAATCATCCCCGGCATAAAAGCAATTCCTCCGGCGACAACTTCACTTTTCCGGCGATATCACCAGACATGGAATTAGATTCCGAATTAGCAGACCATTTGTTCTCCAATGGCAAATTCCTCCTCCACACTTTTCCCATTCAGCCAAGAAGCTTCATCCTTTCAAGAACCAGCAGCGTTAGTAGTAGTAAAGATTCACTCGTGTCTTCCCGGAGCAACAGTACTAACAGCCGAACCAGCAGCAGTAGCAGTTGCAGCAGCGCCAGAACAAGCACCAGTGACGCTTCTGCCGGAGTTGCTGTGAAAAGCAAGATCTTCCTTGAAAAAGGAAGTCGGAGCCCTGTTCGTTACTGTAACAATTATCATCATCTTCCCGCTCAAAGGTGGCAGTTCATGGCGCCGGTTCCGATGCTAAACCGCCGGCCTTCCCAGAGAAGAAAAGGTGAAGAGAACAGAATTGGGTCGCCGGAGAAGAAGAAATGCACTCCGAAAAAAGGGTATTGCCGGAAGTTTTTCCGGTGGGTTGTGTCAACATGCAAACGTTGTCATGCTATGGAGCCTTGACTGCTCAATTTTCAATGTTTTTTCCTTCTAATTTCGCTAATTTGATGGTGGATTCAGTCTTTATATCAAAAAGTTTGACTAAGTTAATCCAAACGAGATACATAAACATCTAAAAAAAAGATTCAAAACGACTACTAAACATTACGAAAAACAACCATTACTAAACATATCACTCCAAGAAATTTTCCATAACATCGGTGTACATAGCAGCCTCGGGAATATGTTTATCATGATTCAAATTCTGGCCGCCGTCTGGCTGCTTTCCACCACCGAGTCCTTCTTCTGCATTGAACAAAAGCTTCGCGTCATCACTTCTTCCGGTGAGTGCATTAAAGAACGACAGCCCATTAGGCCATTTGATGTCGCTTTCAACATGATCAGAACCCATCATGTTTCCCATTTGTGGTTCAGATGAATGAGGAAGAAGGAACATGTGTGTCTCGTCTTTAGGCGCAAACCCTAGTCTTGTATGATTCTGGAAATTCGGCGATTGCATTGGCTTCGGCGCCGCCCAGTTGAAGGCGGCGGGTGGTGGTGGGTGGATCGGGACCGTTGGTTGCTTTAAAGGATTTGAAGATGTCGATGCAAATAACTGGGAGAGATAGAAACCAGATTGGTAGCCAAGTGATTCAAAGGTATGTCTCATTCGAAGCACAAAATGAAGGTCTTCAGGTACCTGATCACCCATAAACACATACAAATTAGTTTTCGGTGGTTGAAGATGATTAAAAATGGTGGATCACAGGAGAAGAAGATACTCACAATCTTGCAAGAACCAAGTTGCAGAAGCCCATGGCCAGCTTGTATTACAGCTATAGTCTACAAAACAGAAATCAAAAGGGTATGATCGAAAATCGAAATGATTAAAAAGAAACAAATTGGGAAATCATGATAAAAGATTTTCACCTGGATTCCAGATTCAAACTGTTCATTCCATTCAGTTGGAAGCTGAAAATCAGGAATTTATGAGGTCCAATTATTGATAATGATTACATGAACATGAAAGTAGGAAATTAAAAGAAATATATCAATTAATATCAAATTATTAAGCAACAGTACTGTGTGTGTGTGTGTTTGAAGGTGTAAAAGTGTGTGTTCTTGAGAAACATACGGCATCAAAAGAACTTTGCCAATAGTTAGAGATGCTCTGATCACATTCTGAAGGTTCTTTGAATACCCATTTGTGACACTTATCAGAAGCAACTTTCCCCATTAATCTGCACCTCGATCAAGAAATCAACCAGGATCAGGAAAAAAACTTAATGATAAATCTTTATTTCGACACTCTGTTGTTCATCTTTGAGCTTAATTAGAGGTTATAAATCCAGTTATTAAAAATAAACACCTACCAAGTACCCACCCTTCTCCATAATTATACAACTGAATTGACATTTTGCTGAAAGCTTTTCTAACAGGATCGTCCCCTGCATCCATGTCTTCTAAGCAGTCCGCCATTCTTCCTCTGCAAAACCCGTCTTCCCACATCAACATCCTGCAAGAAACCATGTCGAACTGATAAACAAAAAGCAGAAAATAATAACACCATATCTCATGAGCGAATATCCCCTGCTTTAGAAGAAAGTTTACAGTGACTTACAGGCTCCCGACGTCGTCTCCAACTTTACAGCCATTACCACCTCTAACTCGCCTGCAAAAATGGCGGAAAAAACACCCATTTCAGCAAAGATGAAGAATACAAGTGGGTTGATTTGATTTACGACATATATAAACAGAAATTTACGGGCGCGGACGAATGGTCCAGAAAACAGAGTAAGTCCAGTCAGAATTAAAACAAACACTTCGTAAAGCTTCATGAAGAGCCATCATTCCAACTGCTTCTTTGTTTCTATCTGTAGTTCCTGAGCCCACCATCTTTCTCTCTCTCTCCTCTCTCTTTAGTTACTTTTAGGGTTTTTGTAGCAGCTTTGATCAACTATTCAAGGTTCACGAAGGGGGAGAACACTGGTGCATCATGAGTTCATGCCCATATCTTAAACACTGTTAATCCAAACAAAGAAAGGAACTAAAAAGAGGCCAAAAGTGGAAGGTGTTTGAGTTCGTTGCTTATGTAGAGCTTTTTATTCCATGGTTGTGGTTTTACCAGGGGAAGAAGAAAGGCGGTGAGTGCTTAGGGTTTGGTTTACCTTTGAACTTTAACTACTACTCTCTAATCCACTTATTTATTTTGTGGGTTAGAACCATTGATTAACCCACCAAAATCTTGAAAATCTTTAAATGATTGACACTTTAACTCGTTCATGTAATAAATAAATTTCATCTGAAAAAACAAGTTCATTTAATCTTTACCACAGACTTTATTTTACATGAGTAAAGGTCATTTGTCTGTATTCGGTTTATTTGATATATCACTTTTCTTTGCTTTTCCGTTTTATATACCGTGAAAATTCCAACTTTTGCAACAACAAAAAGGGTGGCAAGTGTGGTCTTAAAATGGTAGTGATTTGGGGTTGTTTGGATAGGGAAAAAATGAGGTAAGCAAGGTCACAATCCATGACCAAACACACCCCTCAATGGTACGGTGGAAGGTTTGTTAAGGACATTGAGGGTTTGGCAAAATAGAATCTTTACTGGTCAAAAGCATGGTAGGATTTTGAGGGTTAGATTTGGATTGTTATTTTATTAGATATGGTCTTAAATCATAATCATAATATTTAAGATACAAGGGTTTTAATTTTATAATAATCAATAAACAATGTGTTATATATCATGCTTAATTTTATCACACTCAATGTTGAACAGTTGAAGATCTTAAGCATTTGACTTTTGTTTGGGTTTCATCTTTTGGAAATAAAAGATAATCCTAAAACCACTTATTTGTCGATAAATGTATTGAATGTTTATACAGCTGTAAACGTATAAAATATTATTTTAATAAAAAATCTTTTAGGAACAATTTACATATATAAAGTAATTGTGGCGTTATATATATAAATTAACAGGAGATTATAAGGTGGTCACGTGCACAAGTGCCATGGCCGTGCGTCGGTGGATAAAAAAAGTCTGTTGCACTTGCATAAATTGCGGGGACACATTGCGTTTCTTGTTGTAACATACCTTCAAGAGCGAATGGTGTATTCACGCGCTAGTAGATGGAATAATTGATAATCGGGAGTCACGTGGACGACCTCTGTATGCGCTTGGGTCAAACACCCATCCACTCCGGTTTGACCGCCCAAGGCTACGGCTACGGACCCCACCAACGTATCTTTGCGGGTCCCAATTTCGTTTTTCTAATTTTCCTCCAAAAATAATGTCACCTGGTTATATATATATATGGTAAATTAAATTTTTAAACAACCATGCAAATTCTCTTTGTAGTTTAATTTTTTATTGCATATTATATTGTTAAATGTTTTATATTATTAGATTTCATTTTAAAAATCTAATTGTCATCAGAGAAATTGACAAAGGTTAATCCAACAATTATCTGTCAAAAACTAACAAAATGTCAAAAAAATAGTCATGAATTTGGTAATCCTCTTTGAAAATCTTGTTTTTGCTCAAACTTAGATTTTATAATTTTTTTATACAAATTTCATTTAATCGTTCGTTTTAATCAAGATTTTGTTTATTTGGTTCGATTTAATGCATTTTTAAGTAATTCTTTTTATATAACTACGACTATCTAAATCAATTTAATCAGTTCCTAGTAATTTCATTCGATCTACCCTTGTTTAACCGCTAACAAGATTTTTAAAAAAAAAATGTATTATTAATATTGTATTTTACTATTTGTATGCAGTCATCGACCTAAAATATAGTTTTTTTTTGTTTGGCCAAATTAGCTTTCCACAAAAAAACTAAAAGATAAACTTATTAACTAAAACAGTATATGCATGGGCGGAGACAACGGGGGACTAGCAGGTGCCGAGCCTCCCTCAACATCTGATTTAATTTGTATATTACTTATTCATATTTTCCTTTAATTGTTTCAAACCAAATCGAAGGCTCTAAATCCATTGCCCCCCATGAGGCCCAAATTCTTTAATTAACTGGGGAATTACAATTTAATAAATTTACATAAATAAAACAACTATGCAGACTAATTTGATATTCTAATGAACTGACTAAACAGTTCATAGTTTTGAATTCGACCATTACAATCATCGACGCTTCTCTCTTTAAACTTCGATTTCAATAAAATGTCATTTTAATTTCTTATTAGTTATTAGAGTAAATTACATGAATGGTCCCTATGGTTTGGGGTAATTTGCGCATTTGGTCCCTAACTTATTTTTTTAACTCGGAAAGTCCCTATTATTTGTTTTTATTATGCGCTTGGTCCTTACTGTTTGTTTTTGTTACGCGCTTGCTCCCTGTCTTACCTAAAAAGACTATTATTTAAATAGAGAAAAATGGTGGGGTAGGTAAGATAAAGAGGGTGGGGTTAGGGGTGTGTTTATTTAAATAAATTAAAAAAATCAAGGGCAAAATAGTCTTTTTAGGTAAGACATGGACCAAGCGCGTAACAAAAACAAATAGTAAGGACTTTTCGAGTTAAAAAAATAAGTTAGGGAACAAACGCGCAAATTACCCTAAACCATGGGGACCATTCGCGTAATTTACTCTAGTTATTACATTTTCCATTCATTTTATTTTTTTTAAAAACGGTTACACATGCATCTAATATATTCCTCAAATTCTACAACTTTCCTCTCAAATGAGAGTTCAAACCATCAACCTTTCATTGAGGGGCATCTATTCGTCAACTTCTTATACTGTTAGGCCAAATATCCTCTGGTTATTTACATCTTTTATTTAACCGTAAGTATTTTGAAATGGAGCATCGATCATAGCATACGTGTTTATATTCTAACTAATTACTTTATTATTAGCAAGTTCATGGATAATTATGAATAAGTGTTTATAGTCATTTGGAAGCTTTTGAAGACTCTTTCATGCATTCTTCTTAGTCATATTTACTTTCAAGTATACGGACTATATTATGTTATTAGTACATAAAATATATTTTAATATATTGTTACGATTTAAGCCATCTTTATTCTAAAATATCGGCTCCGCCACTGAGTATATGGTCATTTGACCCTTTTGAAATTGTTTTCTGTGATTAACTAATATATACAGGATATTTACAGAGGATATATATAAAATTAGTAGGATTTTACTGGATATAGATATTTTCTGGGGTTGAATTCCAAAAAATAGACACAAAAAAATCGAATTTACAGGTATAGACATGGATTCCGTGAAAGTGAGCTCCGAGGGCTCCGAGGAATCGATCCTTCAAAAAATAGTTGAAGAACAATTTCGCGGAGCTCCCTCAAAGTAATCGATCCGTCAAAAAAAAGTTGAAGAACAATTCCGCGGAGCTACTTCCGATGAATGAACGTTGGAGAACAATTCCGCAGAGCTCCCTCCGAGGAATTGTTCTTCAGATTTTTTTTTTTTTTTTTTTTTTTTTGCCACATCGATTCCTTGGAGCTACGTTAATTCCGAGGAGCCCTCGGAGCTCACCTCCACGAAATACATGTCTATATCCGAAATTTTGATTTTTATGTCTATTTTTTGGAATTCAACCCCCAATAATATATATATCCGACAAAATCCCTAAAATCGTTCATTCAAATTTGTCATTTTTACGCAAAAGTCTTTTTTTTTTTCTAAAATATTATTTTTATTCAACAGTTTTTTAACTAAATTATATATTACAATACAAAAAATTTGACAATTAAATTAAACATAATAAAGATATTATAACGTGTGATACATAAAAGATCAGGCATAAACTTATATTCATTTTTATCTCGTCGCACAATATCTTGTGATACATGAGTTGTCCGTTGACATATATTTCATTTTTATCTTGTCATATAATATGAGATAGTATGATAATTTATCAAAGTATTTATGAGATATCTATTTGCCGGTTATATATATATATATATATATATATATATATATATATATATATATATATATATATATATATATATATATATATATATATATATATGAGATGATGATTTTTTTGCCGACAAATAATGACAAAAGAATATCATAAAACAGTAAGTATTTATAAAAAAACGGTGTTACAAAAAGCCAAAACTAAAAGATATAACTTTTTCGGGGTTTTCTTTTTCTCAAAAAGGTGAAAGATAATAAATTCTTTTGTATCTAGTTATTAAAAAAAAATACCAAAATGTATTTTGTTATAATTTAGAATTTAATATTTAATATCAAACATTAAAATGAAATATTATTTAATATTTATTAAAATCAATTAGTCAGTTAATAAATAATAAATATTTAAAGTTTAACTGCAATTGTAGGGTAAAATGAAATATAATTGATTAAAGAAGGGGTTAAATGTATTAAAGAAAAACTCAAAAAAATATTTAGTTCATTTCAAGTGGCTGAATTATTCCATTAAAATGTGTTTCCTCTCCAATGGAAAACAAAAACTAGTTTTGAGGTAGATTCTAAATATTCGACCTCTCCATCAACCTTCCATTATAGATGCTCTAAGATAGCTAAGTTGTCAAAATATTAGTTAAAACTTTATCAAAACATTAACGAAATCTTAAACCGTTAGGCCAAATGTTCCCATGGATTAATGTTTTAACCAACCAATTTTTTTAGCCAAATGTTTTTAGTTATCAAAAAACTAAGATACTTATTTTGTTTAAGGTTAATGTTTTCAAAGGTTAATTTCTTAACATCTCTTTTTATGGCCAAACACTAGCACAAATGAGTTGATGTCAGGGTTAGACTAAGAAGAAGTCCATGGTGTAACGCCCGTACATCCGGGCTAGTCAATTTAGGGAGAATAGGGGTCGAAAACGACTTTTCGACAAAAGATTATTTAGAATAAATAATCTTAACCAAGTTGTAGAATATGTCTCAAGGTTTCCGTACATATAAAGAACGCCAAAATCCGAGTTATAACGAAGAAGTTATGGTCCGTCGAAGTTTTACGACAAAACCGGCACAACACCGGGAAGCGTAAATAGTAAATTTACGATGGAGCGACTTTTAGCCTTAGCAATCTAAACGAAAGTTGTAGTATATGTTAAACCGAGAACATACAAAAAAAGAACGCCCAAATCTGACTTCGTATGAGGAAGTTATGAATTTTCTAAGATTTGGCTCAGCAGTGCACGACCC